CCTGTGCTTTATAATGTGGTGGTTAATGTAAGGATGCAGTGTTTGGGTCTGTTAATGAGCTGCCCTGTACTTTTCAATCCAAGTATTTGTTTTTCTAAACAGACCAGTAAACCAGAACAGATTCTGATGAGAAAACATGAATTAAACCACTATTTTCAGAAGAGCAACACTGGGAAAACACAATTACACGTTAAAGCAGATACAGTCACAAAGCAATCTATTTCTGAAATGCAGTTCAGATACAGTGATCATAAAAATAACTGATGCTGATGCAAAGATCTTATAAAATCTTACTATAAACAGCAGTTTATTTACAGATAAACCAAACTCACCCTGTGAAGACAACAGTGCGAGTGCCTGTCCTCCGACAACGGAGCGGTTCCTTCTCCCTCTTGATGACACTAAGAATGACTCTCCCCAAAAGAATGTTCCCCATGTTTGAGTGCCCATCCTGGAGTCTTAAATATAGCGTCCGGCCGTGCCACCGCGGGGACAATGGGGAGACCCGACGGGGCTGCTGCCGTGGCAATGAACCACAGGCTCCTGTTCAGATCAGGCAAAGCATCTTTGCCAAAAGGTGTAAGGAAAGACAGGTCTCCAAAATTCAGGCATGAGGGTATTGGGTTATCATCTGCTCATTGAGGGTAGAAGCTCACAAAGCATCTGAAATGAATGGTGAATATTTTAGTCTCCTCTAGGAATTTCCCTGATGTTAACGTTCCTGTTGCTGCTATTGAGTGAAATCGTTTGCTTTGACATCTCTAGTGAATGCCAACTCCAGCCAAATCATGTCAGTGTATAATTAGATGGGGAGCTCACAGCAGCTCTCATGTCTTGGTTGGCTGCAGCTGCTGCACTTCCCTTACTGCAGGCGAAGGAAGCCTTGCTGCTGCCAGAGCACTGAGCACCCAGGTCCAGCTGCCTGTGGCGGTATCTGAGCCTCTGCCGTGGGGTAAAACACCAGTGGCTGCTGGTTTTCCGTTCATTTGAGGCAGGTTTGTGGTTTTGGCATTCAGTATAAACATAAACCCTTCCCAGGAACGTGAGAAGCGGGGAATGGGTTTTGTGGTGTTAGAAGGAGAAATGAAGGTTTGAAAGTAGTGAAGCTCTGGGGCTGCAATACCAGCTTGTGAGCCAGGTGTTTTCCAGCTACATGTTATTAGAGGATCATCAGCACATCAGCTGTGGGCTTCTCAGGGCTGCTGCAAGTCTGATAGAGGATGTGTGCAAACAGAAGGTTGCCACGCTGGATGAAGCTGAAGGTCTGTTCAGCCCAGTGTCCTGTCTCACAGTGCCCTGTAGCTTGTCCTGAGCTGTAATCAGTGCTTTATTGTTTCTAATACTCTTATCCCTTTCTGAACACTCTTTGGTTCTGGCCTCCACAGGGCCCTGTGGAAGTGAATTCCACCCCCAAACCTGGCACATTTGGAGGCATCCATTCCTAAGAACTTATGTTTGCTTCACCATCAAAATAAAACCAAGATGAAACCCAACAGGATCATTCTCCCCTCAAGCCCTGTGTGTATGTGGAGCCCTGCTGCTCCGCACACAAGGGCTTCTGTGTGAAGTTGATTTAGTAGCTCAGTGTCCAAAATTCCTAAGAAAGCAATGAAGAGGAGTGGCTGGGCAGGCATGGCTGAGTATGATCTGGTGTAAGCTGAGCTGTCAAGGTGAATGTGCTCTTTTATTGCTTTTGAACAATTGCATGACCACTTGAGTGCTTTCCTGCATTTGTATTATGAGAAGTAATGAGTAATTATCATCTGTTCTGCTTAATGTTAACGATTCCCTTAATCTCTTGTCAAATCAACCCTCTGCTGCGTGTTTTAAGGAGAAGAATCTTAACTTCTCCATCTGAATGGTGACTTTTGTCACCTTTTTCTCACACTAATGCCCTCTGCTCATGTCTCACTGCTGTCATTATCTCAGCCTGGGAAGGAGGGAGATGTACGTGGACAGTTTCATCCCTCTGAACCAGCAAGTGGGAGGCCACCGCTCAGCAGCCGCAGTTCTGCTGCACTGAACCTCCCATCACTAACAGCAGAGCTGGCAGGCCAGCGTGGTGCCAGAGCCGAGGGACAAACTGCTGAATCAGGGTGCCCAGGCCTGCCAGAGCTGCCCCATAGCTCTGCTTCATTCTGCCTCCAGAATTCAGCACTTTCAGTTTGTTCCCGAGGAAGATTTTCCTCCAAGGACGTGTTAAAAAGTCAGCAGTGATGTTTTTATAGTCCTTAAACCGGGCACCCTTCAGTGCCAGGGCAAAGCAGGGACAGCAGGAGCCTCAGCAGTGTGTGCTGGGCAGACACAGCCCCTGGGTTCAGCCGAGAGGACAAAAGGTTAACGGTGGCATTGGACTGGGTGACAGCTGCCGCATGTGTGCTGACATCCCTGTGACAACTGGGACTGCAATGCTCAGCTGTCATCGGCCTGGCATTGGCCTGGGAATTAGCATGGCCTCCGTGCGAGGCACTTGGAGTCCTTATTATCTATCTAGAGCTATTGAAACTGTTATCTGGAAGAGTCAGGATAACGAGGAGCAGGCTGCTGTAAGGTACTGATGCCTGACACAGGGAGACCTTTGAACAAGTGTTGGATCCGGAATGGCCTTACACGGATGAGACAATCCCTGGACCTGTTAGCTGCGGTGCCTTTTGACACAAACAAGGCCGTCAGTTTGATCCTGTAAAGCCATGAAATGAAGGCAGTAACGTCAGGGCATGGTGATGGGGGTGGACGAGCACTTTCCTCATGCAGCCACAATAAAGTTCAGTGATGGCAACATCTCTTGCCAAGCTTGTCCAAAGAGGAATAGTTTCAGAAGGGATGATCTTCCCATTAAATTTAAGAGGTGACTCATGAGACAAGAATCAAACTCCTCCTGCTAATATATCAAGGCCTAAAAGATAAATAATAACTCATCCATGATCAGAGCAGGAAGTTGGGAATACAGCTGCCAATCACCTCACATGCATCCTACAAACCTGGTCCCAGGCTTTCTGTCCCTCGGTTCCCATCTCCCCTCCCATCCATCAAGGTGATATTACAGGCTGGATGTGATCACACTGTGTGACAGGGCTCTGTTGAGGGACTTACAAAGGCTTTTAAATGGAAAATATGTTTTCTAGCCGTACCTTCAAATGCTCTCCTAAGGCCCCCTTCCCTTTCTCACTATGCTGCCCATACTAATCCGGTGCTGAGGGTCCTGTTTCACAACAGGAGCCAAAACGTTGTCACTGTGGCATTTGATGGTTCCCTGGGTAGCGTCCCTGGGAATGCTGTTGACACAAGATATGCAGCTCACAGGCAACTCTGACTAAGGTAACTGGCATCACTGGCTTGTCCTGCAGCCGCTCCGGGGGGAGCTGGAGGGTGGAATGCTCCCCGGGGTCTCACACCCCTGGGAACAGCACCGCTGGGCTCTGCTGGGCGCTGAGGGTTTGGTGCCATAGTTTGGATGCAGCACATGGAACAGCTCACACGACATTCCACAAAACCCTTGATACTGAACGGTACGAGGTAAAGCTGACACCATGGAACGGCCTCCCAGCTGCTGCCCAGACCGTGCACATCCTCAGACCAGTCATACCCAGTGCCTTGACAGCTCTGCACCACATCTGGCATTTTAACCGTTTGGCCTCATCAGCTTTGGTCGTTACCAGTGCTGGAGTCAGGAGCTGAACCTTTGCCTGTGGAGTTTCTGAGGCTAATCCTGTAACGCTGGCTTGAGCCATCAGACCCCTTTCCTTCATGAGGCTATGGTTTATTTGCAGAATCACTCCAAAACAAGTGGAATTTGGGCTCCCCTGGGCTGCGAGAACACCCGAGTGGCTCATGGTGAGAGCAGGCGAGCTCTGCTCTCTCAGCCTTTCCCTGGCCATGCCCTCCAAGCGAGTGCTTCCCATGCCACTCGCAGCCATGAGCATTCCCCCAGTTCCAGTTCTCTACAGTGGCTGTCATGAGACACTCACACTTTTTCACCACACCAGTGGAAATCAGCAGGCTGAGCTGTGCTTTCCTCTTAATGAAACAACTGCCTCCTCTGTCCCCCAGTAAACACCATTTCACTTGCTTTTGGTAAAGGTGCAGTGCTACACGAATTTGTCTCTCAATTTACACTGGGTTTGGTTTATTCCAGCCCTGGAGGTGGGTGCATTGGTACCAGGGGCAGGGGAGGGCTCAGCTACCCTTTGCCGTGCAAAGGGAGCACGCTCCTCATCCACAATGACAGTGAAGGGTGGGAGGAAGCAGCTCAAGACCTCCCTAGTTTCTCTCACAGATTACTGAGTGCATGAATTGAGATTGGTGTGAATTACGATTGAGGGTTGAACCCAGAGTCATGTAAATGCCCACATTCCTGCCTCTGTGGGATGTGCTCCTGGCTGCTTTGTCCCTGGGGGTTTTAAGGGAACGTGTGTCTGTTTCAGGGAAAGAAATGAGCAGCAGCTGAGAAACACATCCAGGCAGGGCCCAGGCTGCACTGACCTGTGGCAGAGATGAGAATGGCTTTATCTGCCCACAGGCGTTAATGGGCACAGCACGTGGGACACAGAACTGCTGCACCAGGAGCTGTTTGTACAGGTTCAGTGGCTGCTTTCAAGGCAAAGTCCACTTCATGGAAATAGCCTGTTGTTCTGCACAAAGCATATATCCAAGGGTAGAACTCCAACAGGCATTTAATTCTTTTACTGTACCGTGGTGCATTTAATGCTTTTTGGTTTGCGTATGTCTGCACATGAATTCAAAGGATGGGTATGTCTTGGACATGGGTCCTTGGTGTTGGTAAAGAGCAAACACGGTTCCTGTTGTGAATTTTGCTAATTCAGTAAACTGAATCTGGAATTTGAACTTGAACCTTAACTCAGCTTTTAAAGTAGTCCAATTCATAATAAATGTGAAGAGTATACAGGGAATAAATGCCTGTTATTTAAGTGCAAAGATACAGTATTGCAGCGTGCCAAGAAGGATTTAATCAGCACAGGTACTCATCTCCACAACAGGACAGGGGGAACAGTCTGACAGCTCTGGGCCAGTAACACAGCCAAGGTGAGCTCTGTCTCTGTGCATTGCATGGCTTGCAGGGTGGGCTGCCATTCCACAGAAGCAAAGTAATCTGGAATTCAGTATCATTAAGGCAGCCTAATAAAACTCCGTGCTTTCATCCTGATCCCACAGTACTTTTAAGTCCAGGTCTTTGAAGAGCGTAGTGAGAGGAGTGCTGCTGTCCCAGCCTGCAGCAGTGTCTTGGGACACAGCGTTACCCAGTGTTGTGCAGCTGAGCTCCTTTATTGCTGGTAATGTTTCCATTCCTTGAGTCCCTGCAGGATGTGAGAATGGACCTGGCAACACCCAGCGCTCAGGGGTGCTCTCTCCAGGGAAGCTGCTGCCAGCACCGGCTGAGAAAAGGAGAGCTGCTGACAGAGGTGACAGCAGCTTGTCCTCCGGAGCACAGTCTGTGTCAGCTGTCACTGCAGGCACTTCTGCTGTCTGTTTTCTGTAGCATCCTCCTTGTTCCAGCAAAGGCAGGGGCAGCCGGGATACAGGCACTTGCCTTCCCACCCTGTCAGTCTGCAGCAGCAGCTGCTGTGTTTGCTCAGGGCTCCCTTCTAAGAGAACTGTCCCCCCTGTGTCACTGCTGTCCCACAGTGCCAGGTTTGGTCCCTGTGCTTTGTAATTCCAATGGTCATGGCTCTTGCCCAGCACCTGTGTTATGAGCTTCCCACCGGCAGAACAATCCCCAGGGATTTGCTTTGGCTGCACATTCTCCTCGTCCGCACGGTCTGTGCTGTCGACACACACCCCATAGGTGAGGGGCAGGCCTTTGCTGGATGTGGCAGTGGGAACGCTCTGCTGGTCCCCACGAGGAGTGTAACCCGTGGGAGCTGCAGTGGCCACACAGGGCGGCTGCGCGGGCAGCTGGAGCGTGGGCACATCCGACTGCTGCCGATACGGAGTCTCTGGTGGATGGGAAGACCATGGTGGCTCCGGTGCCGTGTCCAGACGTTGGCTGATCTGTGGTAGCTGCGCCTCAGAGATCAGAAGTGAAGGTTTGGATAAATTAATGGGCTTTATAATGTGCTCCACTGTCAGCGTAAGAGGCTGGAACGACGAAATCCCTCTGAAGTCCTGTTGATGTAAATAGAAAGACATGAGTTGTTAACACAAAGCTGTGCTTTTTTAGAAGTTTGCTTGTTAAGATTTTCTTTGGGGAAATATCAGTAAAAGCCAGGAACAACCCCCAGGGATCTGCTCTGCAGGCAGAAGGATTCTGGTTTTCTTCCTGGGGAATGACCCTTCAGAGGAACACAGACCATGCACCCTCCTCAAGCATCAACGCTGTAAGTGCCTGCACAGCATCCCGGTGCTCCAGAGCCTTGCTGCAGTGCTTCAGAGCACTTACCAGGGACATGGGCTGTGCGCTCTGCTGCTTGACGTACTTGTAGATCCCAAGGCTAACGGCAGCAAACACTAGTCCAGCGCAGAGGGCGAGTGCCACGGAGCAGTACAGGAGCCACGTGTGGTCTGGTTAGTGGGGCAGAGAACGAGTGGGAAAGAGGGTTGGGTTAGAAGAACCATGAGATGAGATGAGTGATGTTCTAGGTCTAGGCTCATAGGAGTAGATTTTAAATTAGAGAAGTCAGTGCTCATTCAGTATCTTTAGCAAGGCCATGTTATCTTAAACCAGCTGAAAACCAGTCCCTTTTGTGTATCCAGTATCCCAGCTGGGTTTTTAAGTCAGCAGAGTCAACAGCCTCACCTGCTAGTGTTTTAACCCGAAACACTTGAGATTTGCTGCTTCTCTGGAGGAGAGATAAATACACTGTTCCATTATAGTCGGTGTCTGGGTCCAAGTTGGAAACTTCAAACTCTTTGTTGTGCTCATTCTTTGTCCACTGTTTACAATAAAAGCAAATTCTGTATTTTAGAGATGAAATATACACATTTTCTTCAAATCAGATTGCAAAATTCAGCATCACATTTTGTTTCCTAATAAGATGCTACAGGACTAGAATTCTGTATATACAGGATCCTAAATATACTGGGAATGCGCCCCTCACAAGCAAGATTCTGTATATATACAGATATATATCAGAATATATATACAAGGTATATACAGTATATATATATCTGTATATATACAGAATCCTAAATATATCGCTTGCTTTCACCTGTTGCTGTATTGAAGTTTTACATTTGAGTTCCTTAAGACTTGCACTGCTTCAGTGGTTCTCTGGTTTGGTCCCATATCCTGGGAGTCTTCAGTTTCTTTTCCAGAATTTTAGAGGAATTCTGGAATCTTTTCCAGAATTTCAGACAAGTTCCTCCTGTCTACTGCAAGTCAAAGACTCCGAGACTTTCCCTCGCACATGGGAAACCCATTCATCAGGTGAAAGCTCTGACAGTCTGATGTGAAATGTGACATAGGGAAGTGAGTGGCTCGTGGCCAGAGGTTGTGCTTTACCTTTTGGTGTGTCCTTTGGTTGAATATTGTTAAGTGATATTCCACAGCACCAAATTTGCTGCAGACATCCTCTACGGTTAGCTGGCGCTCATCCTCGTCTCTCAGCGGAGTGTAGGGGGGCCGGATAAGGAGCTTTATGGAGCGTACATAAGGAATGGACTCCACTGTTGGTGCTCCAATAACAGCTGGAAAAGACGGAACAGGCAGCTGAAGGTAAAGCTGATATGTTACCAGATCATCCTGTGTGCATCTTAGACCCCTCCTCGGGCTCACTGCCCATACCAGCCTCCCTCAGGCCTTCCCTCCCTTCCCAGCCAGCACGGAGTCCTGCTCTACTCAAAGGAGAGGAGATGCTGTTCCAACCATCAGCAAGACTTGGAATGTGCCCCTCACAAGCAGGATAACAGCGGTCAGCAGGGTACGTACTCTCTTTCCTGGGTTCAAATCTTTCTGAGCGTACCCAGTTGGAGGAGCAGTGGCTCTGGGCACTGGCCCTCACCCTGGCATAGTAGTGCTCTGTGAAGTTTTCTGTTTCGCGAGTGAGGTTGCAGAAGGGCTGAGTGATGCTCTGGCACTCGGGCTTGCTCAGCCAGGATTTTTCTCCATACCTTAGGACAAAAAAAGCTGTTAGTCACTTCTGTACAACAGAAGCAGTTCAGCCCTCCTCTAGAGTGACCCAAACAGGCTGTTCTGACAACTCTTAGTGGTTCTTAAATGTATTACTGCAATCAGCAAGTGGCAGGGGATGGACAGGCAAAGGAACAGGGCATCCTCCCCTGGACTCCAGCCTGTTCTGGCTGCTGGCTTGTGTGTGGCGATCGCCTCGAGGAAGTGCAGCTTGTCGCAAGCTATGCACGGGAGTGTCCTGCGAGTCGGTGGCTCTGGGGCTCTCTGCCCAGCTCTGGCACTGGATCATTACGTGTGGATTTGCTGCAGGGTTTGCAGACTGCCCCGAAGGACAAGGCTGTTGCGTAGCACTGGTCTGGTTTAGCTTAATTTTAGGGCCTGAACCAGAGAAAGACATTTGCTATTACTGTATTTACAGGAAACTGCAGCAGAGAGAGAAGGAAGCTGCTGAAGGCAAAGAGTAGCTCAGAAATGGAGTAGAGTTGGCAACCCAAGATGTGAAACTATTTGCTTAACTGGGCACCATCTACCAGTTTAAATAACCCTGTCTTGTACTGAGCTCTCATCTGAGCAGAACTGTTTCCATAACAGTAAAACACAAGGCAGGAACAGCAAGATCTGCTTTTCTTTCTCGGGCCTTCTCTCTCTGCGAACAGTGTCCCCAGAAACAACAGCACTTCAGAGAGAAGCAAACGTCACATACTGCTTATACTGGACATCAAATGTGGTGCCAGGGGGAATGTCTGCTTCCGTTTCCCATGTCAGGATGTTCTCAAAGTTTGTAGAAGAAAATGCTACGCGTTTCAGACATGATGACCTCTGTGTAGTCACAATGCCTACGGAGCAAAGAAACGAGTGTTAAAATGTGTATTGTGGCATCTCAGCCCTCAGGTGAATGTGGGCCTGGTGCTGCTCAGCCTCTCAGCCAACAGAAGCACCAGGCACAGCACCTCCAGTTTGGTAAAGGTGGGCTGCAGAGAGAAGCTTGAATGGGACAGGACTTGAGACCCTGCACACAGCACTGTAGGTACCTCGCAGACTGCTGATTCATCACAAAGAAATGTAAGTCAGGAATTGTCACAGAACCTCAAAACCTCAGGAGGCAGAAAGAGAACCCTTCAGTTCCTCACCAGCTTTCTTTTAAAGCGATTAAGTAGCTGGAAACCCAAGAACAGTAACCTGTTTTCAGGGCTGTGAATGTCTCTGCTTTCTGCCTATACGCAGGGAAGTGACATGTTGCCATGAGGCTCACATCACTGAAGCTGTGACTGCCACTAACCCCCAGTGCTCCGTGTTTGCTCGGATGGAGCCTGCCTGCACGCAGCGATGTGCTAAGACCCAGCGCTTGGACTCTGAGCTGGGTGTGCCGGTGTGAAGGCAAACAACTCGCTCAGCTCCCAGCACGCAGAGCCCTGTGCCTCTTCCCTGCAGAGGATGGGTCCTGGCTCTGGTAAGCAGAGATGTCACTTGCCCCTGACAAACACACCCCTGGTCTGAGCTGCCTCTGTAGAGCAGAACACCCCACCATCCACCTGCAGCAAACTGGCTCTGAGCAGGCACCACAGACAAGTGTCCTGGAGATTTACAACTCTCTCCTGTTGGGAGAATGCACAGTGCAGAAGTGTCTCAAGGCTCATTCTCAAGACCATCTAACCCACAGAGTGACCGTCAGAATCTGTAAGCTGTTTGAATTCCAATTGCAGATGCATCCTCAAAGGGAAATACTTTGGACATTACTCAGCTCTTGGTCTGCAGTATGGATAAACACCTTGAACACACCTGGGCTTCAGCCTGCCCTTGCTGAAGACAAACAGTCCCATTGTGGTGCTGGTAAAGAGACACTCAGAATCAGTGAGTCCCCCCGTGAAAAAGTGGTGTGGTAAGGAAGGAAGAGCAGCACCATTTTACAGATGGGAAAACTGAGGACCTGAATGGGGGTGACTTGCACAAGGTCACATGGAGCAGTTGCGGTAGAGCCCATCAGTTCCTGGACCCTCACTCCAAGCATCCCCTCCAGCTGCCTCTCTAAAGGTGGAGAGAATCAGGCAGAGCAGCACAGACCCAGTTCTCAGTCCTGTGTCTGGCATTTGGGAAGGGAAGCGGCACTGAACTGGATTGCAGTCTGCTCTGGCGCTTGTCCTGAGCTCATCTGCAGTTCAGCCCTTGCTGCTGCTCATGGGAGACTCAGCACAGGATTCCTGGCAAGGCCCAAATGCAGCAGTCAGTCCAAAGCAGGTGGATTTCCCTGTCTGAGCTCCATGAAAACTGAGTCACCACTGCCCTCATTGTTTTCCCACATTTATCCATACTAAAACACAGTTATGCAAAGCAGTTAACACAAGCACGGTCAAGTGCAGGCAGGGAAAACCCGGGATATTCCACAGCATTAAAGTCCTTGGGGTTTAGAAGTTTTGGAAGATGCCTTCCCACCAGTACAAGACCACCAGCACAAGAGCAGATGATGATAAGGTTTCGTGCTGTAAAGGTGGCATTTGGAAACATAGCAAGTTTATCCCTGATTCGCCTGGAGTGAGTTTGCCACGTGTGGAATAGGATTAAATGGCTTTTAGGGATCCATTGTTTGTATCTCGTTTGGAATTTGACCTGTTCATTTGTGTCTGTGCTGAAGACTCATGGGGACTGATCCAAACCTCCCCAGGTCAGTGGATATCCTTTGCTCCTGCAGGGTTTGGGTTGTAACATCAGTGGCAAACACTTTGAAGTTAAGGAATCTTTTCTTCTCCCTATTAATGCTCAGAACACGGAGCACACCCACAGTACCTTGAAGATATTAAAAGGAGAGGAAGGCAGAAGAGAGCTTTTGAACAACCTCAGGCAACAGCTTGTTCTCCAGGTCTTGTTTCAGTGAGCACTACTGGGCTACTCCCCGTGCTACAGGATCAAACTGGAACAACCACCATCAGCGACAGAAAGGAGAAGTCAGGACTTACCAACCCCGGAAAGTGCAGCTAAGACGATCAGGAACTTCTTCATGAAGAGCTGTGTGCGCTGGGCTGGGGAGCAGGCAGCTGCTCTGTGCGCAGGTGAATCACTTCTGCAGGAGCTGATCTTGGGAGGCCCTGCTGGATCTGTTGCTCAGTAACAGCCTGCGGAGCTGCTGTCCTGCCTGCACCACACCTGAGCTCACCAGCTCCAGACCTGCGCGCATGTGTGAGAGCAACCGAGAGTGACAAGAGGAGCACCTCTCCCTCCTGGGCGCGCACGCCTCGCTGGGCAAAGGTGTGCAGGCCAGAGGCTTAGCAAATCCCCGGCTTTTGAAAGGGAGCCAAGTGCCATTAGGCTGATAGCTTCCTGCCCCAACGCCCTCACGGAAGTTTCTCAAGTCTGGGGCTTGTTTTTCTGAGCGGGTAACTTCGGCTCACAAAACTGCAGGTTCAGCCTTAGTGCTGTGCTCCTCTTGGTTGTAAACTGCTGGGAGCAGACCCCGTTTACTTGAGAAACACCCTCCAATAGCTTCTTAAAAGGAAGGTCAGAGGAGCACTGGGTTTAAGCTCCCCCACTCTCCTCAAGCCTGGAGGTTCTCTCTGTCTTGGCATGGGAAAATGTCACCTTCCTGCAGGAAGAGCCCATGTTGTCCTTGGCTTCTCTCAGAGGCCAGTATAGACCTACGGTCCATTCTTGTGGCTGCTTACAAGACAAAGCTCTACTGAGTGTCATGAATGCTATATGCTAAGAACTGTAGGGTTGTATGAAATCTAAACAAGAAAAAGATGCAGTTCCTTTTCCATAGCAGGCTTAGCTTTACAGGGTGATAAGTTCAATTTTCAGGCTTTTCTAGAAGAGGGAGAGATGTTTCCTTCTTTGGTGAGAAGTGGAAGCTAATGGCCTGTCCCCAGATGTGGATCTGGAACCACCAGATGTGTGTAACCTCCAAACAGCTGCTTCTGCTTCCCAGCATGGCAGAAGGGGAGAAAGCCTCACATTTGAGGCTTGGGGAACTCCTGTCACCACTGCTTCCCATTTTTATGGTATAGCTGTTCTTATGCCACAAACTGGGTTACCTCCTCCCTGGCTCACTCCTCTGGTTTACTCTTAGCCCATGGTCATAACTGCTCCCTAAATGGGGAGGTCCTATCCACAGTCCTCTGTTTTGCCTAGGATTAACTGGACCACTGCATGAAGATGAGCTTCCACCAAAGCAAATCCAATTGGATGGTCTTTTGGAGCACTGAGAATGTTCATGTTGGGAAAAGCTTTAACAGGAATACCCACCCTAGACTGAAGAGGCCAGCTGTGCACTGAACAAATTCTGCTGTCACTGTTCCAGCCTTAAGGCCAAACATGATAGAAATTGCAGCCTCTTCTGCTTACCTCTTCATCTCATGGATTTTCTCTCCCTGAAGTTCCCTGCCTGCTCTGGGATTAACAGGGCTGCACTCTTCCAGCCGTGCCACTGGTGCATAGCTGTCAGTTTGTCCTTCTCCTCTCACTTGGGCAAAGGCAGAGGCCTCACAGATTTATTAAACAGGACACATCTACCCACCAGCATGGCCAGCATCTCCAGGTACAATGCTTCATCAGGATGTTCCTACTTGCTAAAAGGAGGTCCATCCTTTCCTTCCCTGATGCTTCTGCTGTGAAAGGAGCCAGGACCAGGAGAGGGCAGAGGTGCAGTGCACCTGAGACTTCAGTTTTAAGACTATAACTTAAAACTTTATTTCTGCCCGCCCTTCTCTACTTACTTTGCAAACAGCCCAGGATCCACCTCTCTGAATCTTTTGGTACCTGAACATCTTCAAAAGATCCCAGTGAAAGAAGGCATGGAGCAGCGGGGTGCAGCCCCTCTGGCCCCAGCCTTTCCTGCAGTTCCATCCTGACAAAACCTGGACAAGACAAAGAGCTGATCCCAGGCCCTCTCTGCAGAGCTGAGACATGCCAAAATAATTCTGTAGAGGTTGCACAACTTCAGGTCTTCCTGTAACTCAAAGCCTGGAGGTTTTTCCTTGATTGCACAAGACGATGGGTGGTGGCTACGGATGATCTGTATCTTTCTAAAGAAGCTGGAGGGATTGCAGTGCAGGAGGTACCCAGGACACTTGGTGGAGGACAGATAAGAAAGAAAAGCAAAATTCTAGTTAAGAAGTATTTTCTCCCACTTTCCCTTTTACTTTACTTCAGAGCCTCCATTTGTACATCTCTTTTCCCAACCCCTCCTACCAGCCCTGCCTCTCTCTGCTTGTTCTCTGGATTCCCTGAGGATGTCAGCTCCAACACCCACCCTCAACACCCTTCCTTCCTCCAACTCTGAATACAGAGAATGGCTGTTGTGTGCCCCCCTCTTACTTTTAGCCCTTTGCTTTTCTGCCTGTCCTTTTATTGGAATGAAATGAGAAGAGCTTGTTTCTGTGAGATGTGAAATACACTGACAAGGTTGGTACTGCTCGTGCAGGGGAGGACTTCCCTTCCCTGTGCCTTTTGCTTGTGAACTGATCAGATTCTTTGCTCAGAGAACTGGTCACAGTCCTGGGTTTCCACTGACCCTGAGTGATCTGGCCAAGAAGTTCCTGGGATTCCACTTCCATTGGGAAGCCCATAATGGGGTCCTGATTTAAAGTGGAGTGTTTGTCAGGTGAGGTGCCCTCACCCTCTGTAGTTCTGGGCAACAGAAAACCACGCGCACACGGAGTTATGTACCAAAATGTTATTGCCTCTGCATCAAGCAGCTCTCAGCCTTTCCACACTGCAGGGGAATCCCACCTTTGGAAAGTGTACTTGTGTAAACCCCACATAAACACACACACACACACACGTGTGCACCCTTCTCACTGTGTCTTCACTCTCTTGAAACAGAGAGGGCCTTGGGGAGGTGTCAGTGTGTGCTGCACCGCTGGCAGGTTCAGAGCCATCGTTCCTTACCACGGCTCAGTGGTACAGAGGGATGGTGAGCATCCCCCGTTACCCAGCACCAAAAAGAACCCTTTTGTCTCTGGCCAGACATCAGCAGAAACTCTGGGTGAATAAATACAAAAAGCACCTCTGTCTGTCCTTGCTCTTGTTTGGGTATCCCTGCCTGGAGCCCTCCAGCATCTGCTTCAGCGCAGAGCTGCTGGGGCACTCTAGCTCCTTCCCATGTAATGTGCGTGCTCGTAGCCTTTGAATTTAAACTTGTGATCGTATTTTTCCTCCATATTCGAAGTTTCAGATGCATCCCTGAGCACTGTGGGGGTGGGGGGTGTCCCCTCCGTAAAGCTCTCGCTGTCACAGTCACTTGCAATGACTTCATCTTCTGCCACCTGTAATGTCTGGAAGGAAACGAGCAGCTCCATGCTGGGATCCACACTGAGCCAGGAGACCTCCCTGAGCTGGGCCTGTGGGTCAGCTGCTGGTTGCTGGTAACACCCAGGGGAATGATGACCCTGCCTGTGCAGGCAGTGCTCACCACCTGGGGGGCTGAAACAAGTGCCCTTCATCAGTGTTTGCAGAGGAGCCATTCCCAGGCATTCATCCCTGGCTGTATCCTGCTTTCCCTGTTCCCTGGGACCTGGGAATCTCACATCAGTGAGCGATATTCTTCCCAAAGAGGAGCTGTGAGAAAGGGACACCCTCTCATTCCCTTGGGATCCTGAGGTGTCCACCTCATTCTTTCCTATTGGAAAGAAAGAGAAACCCAAGGTACTTAGGTCAAGCAGAGATTCACTGTCCATGGAGAGGCCTCTAGATGTGGAGTCCAAGCTGGATTCCCCCTGAGCTGTTCTGGATGCTTGACAGTTGAGATGTCTGTTTGGAAACTGCATTTCAGTGTATGGGGTGAAAGTGCTGCTGTCTTCTTCCTCTTCCTCTTTCTCCAGTGATGATGATGATGATGATGATAACGATGATGTTGATGATAGGAAAGAAGGCACCCATGGTAGGTTGTTTCTTGCTAAAGTGTTGTTTGTCTTCCTTTGTGATATTGGCTTCTCGGTGCAGATGAGACGGTCCCTGAAGAATTCCTCTTTACTGAGCTCACAGTGGAAGGCTGCTCCAGCAGCTTTTAACTGAGAGAAATCCTACCAGGGAAAAGAAACAAGACACACGGATAGCAAGTTAGTGATGCTCTTTACAGAGAAGTTTGGATAGAGGAAAGCTTACTTACAATGGGACTAATGAGCACAAACTGGGAAGCACAGACCTCCCAGTTACCCTCTGACAGTCAGTGAGACCTGGACTCAGGAGGGGACCTCCCAGTTGGGCCATACCAGAGCGTGAGGCATCTTCTTTCCCTCAACGTCTTGTGTCAACGAGCAGGTGATGAAGGCACTTGTCAGAAAGATGGGGAGGATAAGCACAGGGATGGTGGCAGAAAATGGGAACCTCCATTCCACTGCTGAGAAAGACAAAAAAGACGCCCTGCTGAGGGTATATTTTATAGTAACAGCGGGCTCTATACTCAGCTTTTTTAGGCTCAAGATCCATGTTCTACAGATGCAGAAAGGGGAAAACGGAATTGCCCAAGATGAGATTTAAGTGAGAGTCACAGCCACAAAGAATGTTGATCCCACCAGTGCCTTACATGGCACTGTGAAAAACGAGGCTTTATTCACATATATTTCAGGATCAATTTGGGTATTCCTGAGATTTCAGTGTGAGCCTCACTCAAGGGCAATATTTCAGGATTATCAGAAGATATCTCAGGGTTTGATTATTTGAATGCAAAAGCAGGAACCTTACACTAGAAGCTCTGGTCAGTCCGTTTCACAGGGAGCCCATTTTTTTCTGCTGAAAGGCTAATTTGGGTGGAAATCTTTGCCTTCCATGAGCTATTTGATGTCTCACCGCATCCTGTCCTCAGCAGGATGTCCTCACCTTTGTGGTTCAGCAGCACACACACTGGTCGGGAGAAGTCGCTGTGCTTGAAGTCGATGTTCTGGAAGGAAGATCTGGCACTTAAGCAGTAGTTGCCTCTAAGGGCAGTGGCATCGATGCTCACCGTGTTCTTCCTAAAGATGCCTTCATACTGCTTCTGCTCAGAAACACAAGAACAGAGGGTTGGATAACTGACTCTTTCATCATTTGGGTGGTGGTTCTCTACCTTTTTAGCCCTCATTGTGTGTGTGGCTCAGTGGTTGGAAAGTGCATGGAGAGACACATCTTGATTGGTGTTTGTAGCAAAGCATCTCCCTAGGGCATAGGGATTCCAGGGTGGGAATTCCAGCTGGTGCTGGGCTGTTCTGCCATGGCATGCTGTTAGTGGTACCCAAACTCAGCTATTGCCCTGTTACACTGACTGTAGTGCAGCCTCCTCATTACATCTGACAAAAACAGGGAACTACCAATAAAATAAGGATGCTCACACCCATCTGCTTTTCTTCTCTGGCTTTGGTTTCATTCTGGTTTGGCCATTTCATTTTCTTCAGTCCCTCCCTGCCCAGAAATGCAAAGCTATTTCAGTTCAAGCTGGGCATCATTCCTCTAGTTCATCTAAGTGCCACTTTTACTGACCTTGTCATCGGATCCAGCTTCCCAAAGGTTCAAGTCATACATCCAAGAGATGCTCTCCACACAGGTGGCCAAAGGGAAGGAGGCATTCACATTGAGTTTGTTCTCCTTGACATTCACGTGTAGCACCGGGGGAGCCAGTTCCACTGTAATGGAGTGACCAGACGTAAGAAGAGGGTTTGCTTGTGCCCTGCTTCACAAGAAGTAACACTTCTCTGTGACTGATCACTTCCTACTCCTATCTTGTGATAGACATGAAGGATGGAGGAAGGTAGGGGAATACCTATGTTTTATGTAACATATCCCCTCTGCTTTGTGAAGAGCTGGAAGCCTGTTTGTTCCCCTGGGGCACTGAGAACAAGTCCTGCCACTTGCTAGAGACTGATTTTCGTGGCTCGTTGTCTGTGCTCACTCAAATCTCTGCTATTCCTAAGGCAGCTTGTTACTGCTTCCATGGTGTGGGGCCTCCCCATCTGCTCACGCCAGCACTGTTCTGGGGACCCAGCTCCATCCAGGGTGGAGCCCAGCAGACACTCACCATCCAAATAGTATTCCTTGAACTGTGATTCTGCCCACGGTGACCACCGTTGTCCAGAAACAGCTTTTACTCGAGCCCGGACTTTAACAAACAAGCTCGGCAGCATGCAGGTCAGATTGCAAGAGGTTCTGTGGGTATTTCTGCAATGAGGAACCTTCATCCATTTGCCCAGGCGTTCCTGGCTGAAGGAAGAGACAAGCATACCATAATATTAGACATGTTGGCTTGTTGTAGAGCAGGAGAAGGGAGAGGGTTGGAGGATGGGGGCCAAATCTTGCTCAGAGCTTGGAGCACTTTCCGGATGGGTAAGGATTGGGTCTGGTGGAAGGATGCAGGCAGGTCAGTGTTCATCACGACAGGGATAATACACATGCAAGGTGTTGGCTGGTGCTGTGCCCGCCCTCGGACAGCTCTGTGAGCTCTTACCTTTCATACCGCACAGTGTATGTCACGTCGGGGGGAGAGCCCTCTCCTGGAGCCCAGGTTAAAATCATGTCAAAATCCTTCGAGAGCAGCGTCACGTTTTGAGGAGGGGGGAGTTGACCACGACCTGATCGAAAGGGAAAATCACATGAAGGATTTAAAATATCCTTGGGGATGGGAAGCATCACCTGGGTTTGACCAGGGGAGTTTCACAGTTCATTCATGCCTGGAAGCTGTGGAAGCAGGTAGTGTTTCATGTAGTCCTGTCTCCTCATCTCTTCTCAAACATCTTCAGCTCAACAGCTTTTACAATCAGCATCCACGTTTGTGTGAAGCATCCTGCTCTGTTGTTTGAATTGGATTCCCCCATGTCTCGCTGGATCTCACTGTGACCTGTTTTCAACCCCCAGATGTCAACCTGGCTCCCAGCCCCAGGCAAGGCAGACACAGGGGTCTGCTCCTTCAGTCCCAGCTCCTTGAAGCAGATCCTACCCTGAGTGCCTGGGATGCAGCATTGCATGCTTCCCACTTGGGCTTCCCTGGCACATTTTGTTGCCAGTAGATCACAGAATCATAGAATGGTTTGGGCTGGAAAGGACCCTAAGATCATCCAGTTCCAACCCTCTGCCATGGGCAGGGACACTCTGCACTAGACCATGTTGCTCAAGGCTCCGTCCAACCTGGCCGTGAACACTGCCAGGGATGGAGCATTCACCACTTCTCTGGGCAGCCTGTGCCAGCGCCTCAGCAGCCTCACGGTAAAGATCAGTACATAGAATCATAGAATCATAGAATGGTTTGGGTTGGAAAGGACCTTAAGATCATCCAGTTCCAACCCCCTGCCATAGGCAGGGACACCTCACACTAAACCATGGCACCCAAGGCTCTGTCCAGCCTAGCCTTGAACACTGCCAGGGATGGAGCATTCACAACCTCCCTGGGCAACCCATTCCAGTGCCTCACCGCCCTCACAGGAAAGAATTTCCTCCTTATATCCAATCTAAACTTCCCTTGTTTAAGTTTTAACCCATTACCCCTTGTCCTATCACTACAGTCCCTAATGAAGGTCCATCATATATCGCTCCCCTTCAAAAGACACGTTCCATAGACAGATTTTAAATTGCTGTTTCTTTACAGTGGAATATTTCACTTTACATGAATCATCCCCATTTGAACTGCTTAAAGTTTACCTGTAAGTGTCCTCCCTCCCATGGGCAGTGACCGTAACAGTGGCGGCTGTACTGTACCTCTCGCCTGGCGCAGGAGGCACAGTGCCAGCAGCATTCCGACTCCCCAGGTGGACATGCCGAAGCAGAACTTTCCCACTTGTAACAGATTTCCTTTCTTGCTACGTTTTCATCGTGTTGTTTTCCGGTACCGAGTTGTACGGGGTACGGAGCAGCAGCGGTGAATGCAGCGCACACCCCTGCGCATCCTCGCTTCCTGGTGCGGCGCAGGGGCAGCACCGCACCGGAACCGGGACGGGAGCGATGCGGGATGTGGGAGCGCTGCCGGTGAGAGGGAAACGGAAAGGTTGCAGCACTGCGCCCTCCAGTGTAACCAAACCACCCTGGTCACAGGCTACGTGTGGAGGAACGCTTGGAACAGCACGAACCTTATCTGGCGAGGCACCTCGTTAGAAAATGGACCTTTGGAATGTACCTGTGTGGCTGTGAAATATTAATACAAATCAAATAAGGGTTTATTGCATGAGGTAGCTAATAATAGCCCATCAGTAATAAAAGCAATCATCCATCAGTAGTGTGCGAGGTTATGATAGTCTTGTGCTTACAAGGGATCAAGAGTTTTCTCTTCATTTATGTTACCAGGTTAAGAATGGTTCTCAGGAGTTAGGGCATTACTTTACTTTACAGATGGGAAGTGAAGTGGATGGGGACAGGGATCTGCCCCTAAAGCATGGGCAAAAGAAAGGACTTGGGTCCTTCTGATAAACCCTGGGGCTCTGTGAGTGCTGGTGCTGCAATTCCTTTATCCCTTGCTTGCCACTTATCGGTTATTAGCCTTGAACCCCAAAACCCCAGCCAAGAGCAGGACTGGTAGGCAGGACTGTACCAACACATGGGTTGTTCTTGGTCCCTGTGTGGCCTCATTGGTGAGCGCGTTGGCTGCTGGCCTTGGCCTTGGCAGCTGTGAAACCTGGAGGTGGCTGTGGTTGCAGCACATGGTACCTTCAGCTCCGGAGCTCTCCTGGGGCAAAGCTCAGTTTCGAAGCTGGCACGGGGTGTTACAGCCTGATTGACGTGCCTGGGGTACCGGCTGTGCCTCTGCCCCGAGCACAGGGAGAGGACAAACAGCCCATCAGGTGTGCTCTTTGGTTGGCACATGGGCTCCTGCTGTGCCCCTTACAGTCACCTCCAGGCCTGTGCCAATAGGGAATGGGAGAGACACACAGAAGGTCACACCAGCACAGGGAAAAGGGGCATCTTCCCAAGATAGAACACCTCTCCCTCCCCTGCAGATGGGCCTTTGCTGCACTGGTGAATGTCAGGTTCTGGGTACTGGGTGGCAGAAGCGGTGATGGAGCTGGGTTGTGCTGGCAAAAGCTGGTATCTTTATCACAGGGGTATCAGATTAACATGGTGTGACCCAATGGGAGAAGACGTGAATTTCTTCAGTCATGGCTTTCTCCAAAAATCTCAATTTCTTCTTCCGTGCCCAGCACATTTCTTGCTCCGTGGCTGGTTTGCTGCCTCTGTTTCCTTTCTGTCAAGTTTCTCTTCCTCATGCAAATAGAACTAATCATTCTTTATAAAGAAAAACCAGTGCTAAGGGTCTGGAGGGCTGCAGGTCTGTTCCCTTTAGCATCCAGACTGCCAAGCCGGTGCCAGCACAGGGCTCTTACCGAGAGCCAGGTAGGAAGCAAGCCAAGGGCAGCCCTCACGGAGATCTTGCTGAAGCCCTCGGGCAGCTCCTCCCGAAGGCGCTGTGTGATGTCCAGTGAGCATCTGCGAGGGGCCGGTCCTGCCGTCACCGTTGTGTCCTGTGGAGCATCCGCCCTGAACTCTGCGCTGCCCCGGCCGCTGTGCCCGAGCTCCTCTGCCTTGAGCCTCACCCCGGGACACGCGAGTGTCGAGGGGAGGCCGCGAGGTGTCGCTGCCTGTCAGACAAAGCCCGGGCTCCTCCAGCGACGGGCTCCAGGCGAGACCGGCTTAAACCTCGGCAAGCTCCAGGGCAGCTCCTGCGCCCTCTGCATCGGCTCCTGCCCGCCTGGGCACTGCTGCTGCCTGCAGGAGCGCTTCCAGCAGCATCCTCCCCTCCCATGGCAGCACAGCGCTCGTGTTGTACGCACTGCCTGCTCTCCTGCCCGCCCGGCCCGGGTGCGCAGCGGGTCCGGGTGCGATGGGCTGGGAGCAGGGAGCTGAGGGCTGCAGCAGGATGCTTGGTGCTGCAGAGGGCTGGGCTCGGTGTCACTGCCCATCGCTGCCGCGGTGCCTGCGTGCTCCCCTCTTTTACTCACATGCAGCATAAATGCTTTGGGATGGGTTTGTCACGGTGCCTCATCTGTGGGTCCATCTGCTGCAACAGCGATGTACATGGGGAACTCTCGACTTCCCACCTCTCCACACGCAAGGGGTGATTCAGCCTGTCCTGAGGCAGACTGGCTGACACCTTCCTTTCTCGAGGAGGGGCACTGCAGGAAACACAGTCTTCCTCTTGGGAGGAAGGCACCGTTCGGGCTGGGGGGTGATTTTATGAACCCTTTGGAGGCGACAGGCAGCACCAGGCGTTGTCATCCCGGCTCCTTCCTTCTGCTCTCACCCACCCAGGCAGTTGTTCTGCAGATCTGCATGTGATGCATCCGGTGAGATGTGGAGAGTGACTGATCCCACCGAGAACAAACCCACACAGAAAACAACTGACCATGGCATCCCTGATATGAATGGCCCCATGTGCTCTTACACTAATGGCAGCACCAGGTTGTTGAGGGGCTGGCTGAGTGTTTCCAGTTTCTTAAAACATGAAGCAGCCTATGTTTGTCTCTCTGAAATGTTGAGAGCTTTTTTATTCCTGCATTGAACAAGGTGATGCAGTTGGATGAGGTTTCTATTGAAACGTGGGAAAGTTTCAGCTCAGCATCTTCTGGGAAGAGCATTTTCAGTTCCTGGAGGACAAAGCTCATTCTCCTCCAGTGGCTCTCACAACCCTGTGCGGGTGGGATTGCTCAGCCTAAGGGAATGGGAACGCTGCAGGTGGCACTTGTCATGGGCGTTCTGGACACTGACAGTCTTTGGGAATGAGAGTGGCATCTCCCAGTAGTTCTCACTGGAAGATGGGAGAAACTTCATAAAGGAATCTGATCCAGATTGACAGTGCCCAGACACCAGCCTGGCATCCAGGCCACTGAGTGTTTGGGCTTGGGGGAAGTCACTTTGGAAGGTTTAGGGAAGAAAGTGTGGGAAAAGGATGGGATGAGCCAAGACCAAAGTGCTATTGGGAATGAAGAGGTTAAAAGAGCTGCAGAGCTGGGCAATGCCAGATGGTAAAATAAAATGCAGCAGTGTCCCCTTGACCCAGACAGGCATCTGGGCAGCCTGTCACTGGGAGGAGGAGGAGAGAATGGCCTTGATTTGTTTTTGAAACGGGGTCTGAAAAGACTTGAAATGAAAAGCAAAACCAAAACCGTAAAATGTTCCCGTACAAGTGCTGTGAATCATTTCATATCCTTTATTTTCTCTTCTGGGGCAGGGTTTTTAAAGGAACTTGGGCTTTGCCTGTACACAGCCACTGTAGCTGACACAGTTCTGATATGGGGGTCATGATTTGGAGGTGATATGCACAGGCTGCTCCTGATGCTAAGGAGGACACAGCAATCCCGTACAGACACTGCACCCCGTAGGTGAACCTTCATGTTAGGGATTGTACCTGTGTCACAGTTTCCTTAGACCATCATGCTTTAGCAGGTATTAGGGGTGGTCAGACAAGGCTTGAGGAGCTGCCCAAGGAGAGCACAGCGTTTCCCAGCCCTTTCACACCTGCACAAGCAGCACATAGTGCGAGGGCAAAGGAAAGGCTCTCCTCCTCTGTGAGCCTCGTTACTGTTCATATGGCATGCTGGTACCCAGAGGGGACAGCCTTCCCCTTACCTCCTCCCCTGTAGCAGTGATTCAGCCCATCCTGCACCATCCCTTGCTCCTGTAGTGCTCAGCATGTGCAAATCTACAGAGATTTGGGGTTTTCCTCAGCTGAGCGAGACACAAACCTGGCACTCAGGGGATGAAATCCTTTCCGCCAGCAGGTTTCACTTCCCTCACAGCAAGTGCATGAGGAGAAGAATCTTTTATGGGATGTTTATGGGGTGTGGGGAGGGCCTTGCCCCTTCTGTAGGTCACTGCAGCCGCAGCACGGAGCTGACGGCACTCTTACATTCGCTGTGACCTGCTGCTTGTGTGCAGCTCTGAGCACTCACACAGACCTCAGCTAAAGTCTACAGCCAAGTGGGCACGGCCGGGACCATGGGGCAGGCGTGTGGGGTGCTTCTGACCAACTGGTGGGCCCATTCCCATTGCCCGCTGCTTCTCTGGCTCTTCCTGACGCCTGTCCCTTCCCCTGCACGGTGCCTTTCATTCATGCTGAAAGCAGTTGGGGAGCTTGCCTGGACATGCCGGGACGGCGAAACTCGGGAGCACACGGAGTAGAACATGTGCTAGCCCACAAGGTGCAGATACAACAACACGGGAATGTCCTGGGGGCACCGTGCCTCCCGAAACCCCCGGCTCTCACCGATCAGCGTGGGAAAAGCACTGGGGACCCTGCATGTTCCAACAGAGAGAGCCACTTGGTTCTAGCAACCTGTCTGCAGGGCTCCCTGAGCCAAACTGTGCTCTCGGGGGTCACCCCCCAGCTTCAGGGTGTATCCCACTTCCATACTATGGGCCACGGTGTCCCCCTGCCTTGGCTCAGGACTGCGGGATGCTGGTACGCTGGTCCTGGCTATGGAACTCCGCTGCATGGCAGGAGGATGCAGGGATCTCTCCACACCGCTTACAAGCAAGGGATAAATTCTCTCCTGTGTGGATTTCACCCAATGGCATTGAGTGTACATGCTGGGGAGGAGGAGAACAGCACAGGGAAGCCGTGTGTGTTCTGTATCTGTGATTTGAACCGCGTCAGGAGAAGGTGGGGTGTCTGCAGCAGTGGGTGTGCAGGCACAGCCAGAGGTGCATTTCCTTGGCCAGGCTGCACCAAGCGATTCCCCCCCAACCACCCCTGGCAGCAGGTTCCTGGTGGGCTGGGTCGCCGCTGTTTGAATGTTTGTGATGTTTTGCATCGCAACATTTGGATGCCAAAGCTCTACAGTGCTGTAAAAGTTAATTAGCCAGATAACTAATTAAAGACTTCTCCCTTTTATTGTTGCCAGCTTGCAATTCAGAAAGGGGCTTGTGTCAAAGTAAATCCAGCAGCACACCCCGGTGAAAGAAGTGATAAACCAGTCAGGATCCAGTTAACCATCCCGGGGACTGGTGTGGGAAGATCCCATCCCTGTCACTGGGAGTGACACCAGCAGCACCAGCACAGCTCACCCACCTGTGGCTGCCTCTCCAGAGGGGCTCCTGCTGTGTGGAGGGGAGGGTCACAGCCTGGCACTGAGTGTGGGGGACAGGGTTTGTAGGTGCCAATGGGAACCTGGTGTTCGCTACAGGTGGGAGAGTCCCTGTGAGGGTG